TATATATATATATATATATATATATATATATATATATATATTCCAAAGTAAAATTAATTTATTAATTCAAGTGCCTAATAGGCTAATACATTATAGCATCAACACTCAAAAAAGAGAACAGATTAGGTTAATTCATATTAACAAGTCCAATCTAATTTGACCGATTCAAACCCTCACATCTTAATAATAATAATAATAATAATAATAATAATAATAATAATAATACTAATAATAATAATAATAATAATAATAATAATAATAATAATAATAATAATAATAATAATTCATATTAACAAGTCTTCCAAGAAAACAAATATAACAAAGGATTGCAAGGACTTGAGCACATGTAAAAGCTCCCAAGCTAAGCTTGCTTTCCAAAGGAGATAATAATATGTATGATATGAAGTAGGACATGGTGGGAGCGCCTATAGATAGATAGATAGATAGATAATAATATAAATGATGATAAAGAGAGCCTATATAGCGACAAACTACAAAGATGGATTGATCTTTCATTAAAAATAACAAAAGAAATTAATAATAATATGGATTGATCTACAATCATTTCCTTGCGAATCAAATTACGCTGTGTGAAGATTTTGCTAATCATAGACGTCTTGTAAAGAAAGGAAAAAAAAGAAAAGATCACGAATAAATCTAATTCGTTCTCAGAAATAGTAACATAGTTGTGGCCTACGATTCAAACCTTTTTTTTTTTTAATACTTACAAGAAATAGATAAAAGAAGGTTAAAAAAATCTCGTCCTTGATCTTCAAAACTAGATTGGATGTCCAAAATCTTCTCGACTATATTACAAAAGTCATTGACTTGATTTGTGGCCTCATAATCAATTAAAGTAGACAAAAGCCATCGATCGATGATCGCTATTGCAACATTCAACAAACAATAATGTCAACATTCAACAAATAAAAACAATTTGCATAGATTTAATCGGATGATAAAAATATACCTAATTTGCATGATATAATGCCCCCATATAATTATAAAAGATAACAAAAAATAAATTATTATCTTCAAATTATTGTATAGGGGTTATTACTAGTTGTTAATAAAGATAAGTCAGAAGATCGATCAACTTCGCACCCTTGAGGGCTAGTCAACGAGGACATCATGGTGATATGAGTCGAAGGATAATGTTGGTAAGTTACCTCGATTTCTATTAATAATAAGAGGCTTATTATTTAGAGCACTTTTTTACCATTCGTAATCCCTTAAAAAAATAATACTTTATTATTTATAGCCCACTATTACTGATTTTATATTTTTTTTCCTTCCCCACAACCCTTACGATCATCACTATATGTATCCTACCGACATTGATGCACCCCCACCTAACGATTATTTTCCTATACTTCACCGTTGCTCCCCTCTCCTACGATTATCGCTCTATGCTTTGCTAATGAACTCTCCTCCCATGCTTCCTATGGCTCCACACTTCATCGATGATTCCTCTTTACTAGCTCCCTATGGCTTGCTTCATCAATGCTTCCATCTCCCACACTCTTTGTCACCTCGTGCTTGGTCGATTCTCTCCCCTCCATTGTTGTCATCGTTGATCTCTTTCGATATCAGTTGTCGACCTTTTATGGGATCGATCATTGTCACCTCGTTGTTGTGAAGAAAAAGGGAAGGAAAATGAGAACGAGAGGAGGATATTTTCCTTCATTTACGAAGGATTAGTTTAAAAATATTAAAAAAATAAAAATAAGATTATGAAGAGTAATGAGTAAGTTACGAATAGTAATATTGAATAATAATAATACCTTAGCGGCAAAATTTAATCGGAACTAACACAATGCTATACCCCAGTCTATCTCTGCCGGGCCCCACCATCTCTTGGGGTTGATCTCACGCATCTCTAGCTCACACCTGCAAGCAAACACCACAAGTCTGAGGAATTGAGGCAAAGAAACAAAAAGAAAAGGCATGAAAGGGAACGAGAATGATAGAAACTGACTGCACCTACGCGGAGAGAGAGTGAGAGAAAGAGGCAGCGCTTAGTCTTGAACTGGAGAGTGGCCGAAGACGGTGGGAGCACACAGCAAGCGAGCAGTGACGAAGAGAAGGGGAGAGAGACAGAGAGAGAGGAGGGACGGCGGGACCTACGGACACTTGTGCTGCTTCTCTTCCTCAGTCCTGACTCGAGCCCGGAACTCTAACCCAGGCAAAGCAAACTAGCAAAGGCCTCTGCTTCTCCTCCTCCTCTTCCGAGGAATCTGATCATCTGCGGAGCAGAGCAGATCCTGCTCGTTCGAGAGACGACAATGTGAGCAGGAGCAGCGGCGGCCGCGGATAGAGAATGGCCGGAAACGGCGGTGGGGGAGCAGCGGCGACTATCAGCGCTGCGGCAGCCACGGGCATTGGCTCCGTGGAACCGAGGCTGGGTCCTCAGGACACAGTACGTATGATGCGCTTCGCCCTCTTCGCTCTCTCGATCTTCGCTTAATAGCTTGCTCTGCTTCTTTTCTAGTGAATGGTTAGGTTTAGAGCGACTCTTTGTGCGTTTTGGATTCGGTTTGATAGCAATTGCAGTGCCATGAAAAGAAACAAACAGATCGGAGACCACGTCGCGCGTCCATTGCTTCGTCGTGGGCGTTGGTGGTCAGATCTAGGGCTCCGATGTACAGATTTTGCTCGTCTTGTGTGGATGACAGCTCTTTTTTGGCATCATCTACCTAAATGCTGCCCCTTTTTTTTTTGTTTTTTGGTGGATCAGTACCTTTCTTAAAAAATACATATAGGTATTTCTTTTAGAAAGAAAAAGAAGAACTTCAAAGTGGGGTTTTGGTGCTGGGAATTAGGAAACTGACATCTGATCTCGTGATCAAAAGTGATTAGTCCAAGGCTTTTCACGGATCTTATTTACGTTGATCTTTTGAAGGATAAATAAGACAGGTTTTGCCTTAGTATTGGATCTTCAAACTCTTTTCGTTTACCATTTACTTAGTCTGTGGAGCATCCACCTAATATTCTGGATAATGTTTTGCTAACCAATTTGACGTTTGGGATCCACAAAATTATCTTCGTAAAGGTGCTACTTTGATGGCAAAATACTGCCCTTATATTGTGTGTGTATCTGTGATCACAGACTAATGCAAATTATGCTGATGGTGTGGTGCCCGCCTTTTCTTGTATGAACTGTTGGTTGCGTTCGACCTCACTATCCTACCTAATTAACTGAGGTGTCTACCTGTTCTATTAGACTGTTGCAAAGCCAATCGCCGAGTCATCAAGGCTTTTATGAAGTCTTTGGAACACGAGCGTATATTTAAGTTTCAGATTTCATCATATCTGTAGTTTGGTTCACAAATTCTTGTTGCCTTTCTCCGAAACATTACCCATTATTATTTCCCATTAATCCAAGAAAACAGTGATCAAGATGTCTGCACTGAACAAATGTGTACTATCAAATGTTTTCTTGAGAAGCAAATATCATCCTATTTCTTTTAGTCCCTCATCGTTGGAACATAAGTAGTTGCTATGTGTTAGTTCTGCTTTTCTTGATAAAACATGTGGTTGCTATTTGTTAGTTCTGCTTTTCTTGATAAAATAGAGCAAAATCCATGTTCTCAATTGAAATAGATATTCTTGAATCTCTTTTGGTAAACGAGTTAGAGATGAGATTTGTGTTTTTTTTTCTTGTCAATTGAATGCATTGTTATGTTGTCTCATTCTAGCAATGTGCCACCGAGTATTGGACATGTTTCTTTATATTTGTGGTTGGTCAATCGTTTTAAGAAACACAGCCATTATCTCAACAGAAGGGGGCCTACAAGTTTTGTTTTATCAAGTCCTTAGTCTATAGATTAGGTCATCACTGGACTTGCTTTGTTGGTTCTGGTTGGCTCATTTCTTTTTTTAAGCTTAATCTGTTTGATTTTTAATGTGACTGATTGAAGCCATACATCTACTTATCATTTGGTTTTTAGTATTTGCAATCTTGCATGATTAACAGTGATTTTACTGTAGTATGAATAGTGATACAATAACTTTATAGTCTTCTTTTGTCCTTTAGCATCCTAAGTGGATCCAAATCCTCCTCCCTACTCAAAATAGTTATTAGATTAGATTGAAAAGTGATAACTGGTGGCTACAAATGCATCTATAGACAGCACATTCTTGTTAGACAACAGGATAATGAAGCAAAGTTAGGGCTATAATTTGTTGTTCGAAGTAAACTATATTAATTCTTTAGATAATCAACATGCATGGTACTTCCGGGTATGATTATCCTCCATTTGGACATTACTTCCCATAATTGATTTAGTTGAAGTTATGCAAATGCATGGTTTGAATACAGGTTTGTTTATTTGCATTATTTTATGTAACTCATGCATGTTTCTCTTTTTTTTTTTTTTTTTGTGCCAGCTGAGTCGCTGGGGTGGCTGCTTTGGTGGACTGTCCTGTTTTGGATCACGTAAAAGAGGGAAACGGATTGTTCCAGCATCCCGTACTCCAGATGGAAATGCATCAACTACTCGTGCAAGTGGGCCTCAATCTGTTGGAATTTCTAACGAAAATACAACACTGAACTTGTCTATTCTTGCCCCGCCTTCATCACCAGCATCTTTCACGAACTCTGCACTCCAGTCAACTGCCCAATCACCCAACTGTTTCTTGTCAATATCAGCCAATTCTCCTGGAGGACCATCATCAGTCATGTTTGCAACTGGGCCATATGCTCATGAAACTCAATTGGTGTCACCTCCTGTATTCTCTACCTTCACAACGGAGCCATCAACTGCTCCACTAACCCCTCCACCCGAGCTAGCTCACCTTACAACTCCCTCATCTCCAGATGTGCCTTTTGCACGGTTTCTATCTTCATCTCTGGATATTAAAAGTTCTGCAAAAAAGAATGGTGTGCCTTGTTTGCCATCGGGTTATGGGGTTGGCGGTGATCTCCGGTTGAATTATTCGCTTTATCCTGGAAGTCCTTCAAGCAGCCTTATATCACCTGCCTCAGGAACCCCTAGAACTGGGCTATCTTCACCTTTTCCCGAGCAGGATATTTCTACACTGTGGGATGCTTCTCCATCTGCACGTGACTCTCCCTGCTCCACGAATAGATCATCCAAGCTGTTTGGACTTGATTCAGCTACAACTAGAAATTTCATTATGTGTCCTGATTCCAGCTTCTTTTATTCTGCAACATCTGCTCAATTTCATTTGGACCAGGCACAGCAATCATTTCCTCATGCCGGAGGGAGGCTTAGTTTTTCCAGGGAAGCTGATGTTTACTCCAGTGGCGGAAACAGACACAACAAAACTTGCAAACAAGATGTGGAAGAGATTGAAGCCTACAGAGCATCATTTGGGTTCAGTGCAGATGAGATTATCATGACACAAAACTATGTGGAGCTATCTGATCCACTCGATGAGTCCTTCAGCATGTCTCCATTTGCAAATAGTAAAATCGGAATGGAAGAGTGCCCCATTACTGAGTTTGATGTCAAAGGTAAAATGCTGTCTAATTTGCTGGATCCTATGAGCCCAAAACGAATGACAGCTCAGGTTGCAGTCAAAGTTGATTGCAAATCTGACCGCAACTACATGTATGCAGGTAATCTTAATTATATTGAAGTTGGCAATATAATGAGATTGAAGTTGATTTATATGCTGACTAAAAATTAACTCCCAAAATTTCACTGTGGAGTGTAGACCATAAAAGACAGACGCTACAGAATACCACATCTATTGCATCATCATTTTTTTTTTCTTTTTCTGTATAAATCTAATGCGTCCATAACTTTAATGCTGCCCAGGTCCCAAACCAAACTTGCAGTCGGAAGATACCTCTCCTTTACTGGATGTCAACCCTGATACAAATGGTGGAGAGGAAAATGACCTGGGGGCCCCAGACCACCATGTTGGAAAGCGAGCTCATCTAGGCCTATCATTCTCAGATGCAGAAATTGATTATCAGAGAGCACGGAGTTTGAGAGAAGCCAATACCCTACTGGTATGGCGGAACTCACTGCATTAACTGAACCGCTCGTCTCTCCCAGTTGGTAAGATGATCGTATTTCTAAGTTATCAAATGTTTCAGCTGGCAAACCTTTCTGTTGATTCTGTTCGCGACTGCTAGTTGCAGACAGTGCAGGGTTATGGTGATTGGTGAATTCTACTTCCGATTCCATTTCCATAGCCAAGTCTTTGTCTGGATGAAGACATTAATCCCATTGTTAAATGTTGTATAGAACTGCCAGCTTGTCGGCTATGCTATTTATGAAGTGTAGCTGCTCTTGCTCTCATAAATACGTTGGTTGTAGAATTAATCCGGGAACTGAGAGAACCATCCCAAGTCATTTCGGTAGAGGACTATTGCCAAGATTTCGATCTTGCAGAGTGCAGTTGAACTTGATCTCGCAGGATTCAGTTTGTGGTGCCAAGTCTGTGAGTGTTTTTTTTTTTACCCTTTTTTGGTTGATTTCATTGCATCACAGATGACTCGAATCTTTTAGCCGAGGGTGTTTGTTGTATCTATCTAGTGGACTTTTGGTTCTTCTTGTCCAAGCTATGCATTCAATGGATGTGATGTGTACTCCGATCATGGTTGCGTAGTTGCACCTCCTTGCTCTTTGTTATTATATGTGGCATCACAATTTTCGAGTACACAACCGAGCGCCGTTTAAGGTTTGTGGAGGGAGAGGTGACGGGGCCAGATTACACATACATACATGCATGGCTTGCGTGATGTGCTTATTATATTTGTATGCGTGTTGATGGCGTCGAACCAGATTACATGCATGGCCAACGTGATGTGCCCCATCCCCTCTCTGCGACAGCACACCATCTTGTTCTTCTCTGTCTCACTTAGCACGCATGCAGCAGCCCGTCCTCCATCGTCCTACCACCATGCCACACGCTGCCGTCTCAGTGTTGAAGGTTGACTATCTGTTATGTAGATTACGTCGATTTCGGAAGTCTTGGACTCGTGCTTACGAGCGTGTGCAATCGTACCGTGTCACTGCCATTCGGTCTTCACTGCATCCTGGGGGAAAGAGAAGGCTCGTTTGGGTCTCCATTTTCTTCGACTGGGAGAGAAAGGCTTTCTCCTGCTCCTGTTTTGGAGGAGGGAGGTTGACCATTTGTTTGACTTCAAAGTTTTGACTTTCATCAACCTCAAAACTGCGCACTCTATTTCAGTTCGTCTTTCGTTCTTTACCTCAACTTTGGAGAAGACACTTTGATCGCATATGCTAAACCAGATACTCTTTGCCTCATCACATCATCCTTCTTTACATGGGGAGGATTAGAGAATTCGGAGGCCACGTTTGTTGACAAGCAAACAACAAGCAAACAAGTCTACTTTACACATGGTTCAAGCATTAGAGAGAGAGAGAGAGAGAGAGAGAGAGAGAGGGGTCCCCATCGATCACTGGCCTGCTTGTGGTGGCTCCTGCATGCGTCTCCACCGAGCCACAGCTCGATGTGATGTACCGGAGCTCGACCGGTGGTTGTGGCACAGTCACACAACATCTGTTGGCTTGGTAGACATCTTGTTCTTCACAGTAGACCTCCTTTCCACCCTATGTCATGAGAGCTTTTAGGTTCAACTCCTTGCAAAGATGTCATCGTGCTCGCTGATTCATCTTCTCTTTAGCCTCAAAGAATCAAACTTTGTATCTCTCGAGATGAACGTATCCTAGTCGATATACGATGCATGAAGCCCACTTCTTCCTCACACTTCCATTATGTCCAAATAGGAAGGAGAAGAAACTAAGAACCATACACTTTGGTTTCGTTATTCCTATGGTGTTATATATTCACGGTACATATCCACAACCTTAGAATGGAGCCCGATGAGGCACGCCCTTCCGTCGGGATGTCCGGTAGCTGATGACGATGGGAGGAGTCCCGGAAGAGATGCTGCTACCTTCGTTGCCCCATTTCGCTGCAGGGAGTTGGGTGATGCTTCTGCTAATGCCTGAGGTCTTTCGCAGCTTTCGACCGGTCGATGACTCGTCGGATTCAGAGCCATGCATCGGCTCGCGGCGAGGCTTGGGGTGGAGGGTGAAGGTGAGCTCTGGGTCCGTCCTCATACCTTCTAGCTGAGAACACCACCACCACGATATACAGGGGGCGATAGACGTTGAGATCGATTTGGATTAAAGGTGTGAAACGATTCGGAAGAGGAAGAGGAAGAGGAAGCATCCAACCTTGCAGCCAATGGAGCAAAACCGGAAGGAATCCAAGAGGTTGCGGCTGCAGATTTCGCAAGCGTTGGTGACTCCCTTTCCGGGCCTCGACTGCGGCCTCTCGTTGAGGAACACTATCTTGGCGCTGTTGATAATGTAGGTTTGGATGCAAGAGATGTCTATGAATTTGGACACCTCCGACACTCTGATCACATTGTGATACGAAGACCTCCGAATCTACGCAAGAATTACCGACGGATTCAATGGAAATTCTCTTTCCATGAGAATAAAGACAGAGAGAAAGAGAAAGAACCTGGACGACGTCGTGATCCTTGTGGCCCGGGAGGCAGTAGGAGCAGAGCGCATTCCCCATGCAATCCAAGCAGTACAAGTTACACTCGCTCTTGTTGGAATCCCCATGAAATTGGCAGGGGACGAAGAAGCTCGCCTTCAGGAGCGGCCGCAGCCATGGCGGACCCGTGTCCTCGTTCCCCAATCGAAACATAGGGCTCGTCATCACCTGGAAACTCAAATCCTCATCCGTCAATAAAAGACGAAGAGAAAGCGCGTCAGAAAACATAAAGATGCCGCCTTTACCATGTCTTCCTTCTCTCTGCGTCTAAAAACGCAATCTTTTAGCTACTCTCAATAGCGACCACCAGCTCGGCCTCTGGAGGAGTATTCCAGCGCCTGGCAACGAAACAGAGGACTTCCAAGTCTCAAACCAAAAGACCAAAGAAGACGCACTCAAATGAGGCTTCCTGGTCACCGATGGCCACCGGAGAGATGAGGAAAGCGGCGTTAATGTAGAAAGAGGGGCGGGGGGGGGGCGGGGAAGAGGAAGTTGGTACAGAACACAGAGAAAGCGTGTTATTTATATATGGCTGTTTGCCGAAATGTGCCGAGCATTTTCCTCGCAAGAAACAAAGAAACAAAAGACAAGGAGGAGTTCATATCCAGCGAGTAATTCCACTGCGGTAAACATTTCCCGAGGTATCAATCATTGATCACTACATGCCTATACCGGCTTTCACTTCGCTTGTGTGCATGAATGTGTTCACCAAAGGAAATCCAAAGAGAGAGAGAGAGAGAGACAGAGAGTAATTTTCACATACAAAGAAAGAGACTGAATTCACTGCATCTTTCATGCTCTGGTTAAGCTCCTGCTACGGTTCAATGCCGAGAGACGGTCATCGGAAACCTGCAGCTAAGAAAGGACAAAGAGATGAGAGGATGGTTTGAGCATCACAAACCATTTTACCAGAGGCTGTAGGATGCTCAAAGATTTCTGAAGAACATATGTGGCAGAACCATTGTGTTAGAAATAATGCCAACTAATTATATGACAACGAATGGATGGATGATCTGTTCATCGAGAATTGAAGGCTGAATTATTGGCTGAGCTGTGTGTACATTTGCACGAAAGCTACATTCGGAGGAGACACCGTCTTCCTATTTTATTTAAACGTAGTAGTTGAGTGAAAAGAAAAAGGGAATCCAGTAGTAGTTGCTCGCCCAATAGAAAATCTTGGGATACTCGGATCGAAATTTCCAAGAGTATGATCGACATATACAATATTATGAACTATGCAATGAGTGGGAGATGTAGCCATCAACATCAATCAAAGTGAACCAGTGGTTGGCTTGAAGTGGAGCTCTAACCCCAAAAGAAACCAGTGGTGTAGCCATCGCCGGGACACATAAGAAGAAAAGAAAATTGAACGCTAAAGCAAGGAATCTTAATTTCTTCCTCTCCTTCTTATCCTTTCTCCCTTTCAAGTGTGGTTGGAGGTTTGCAATTGAAAGTCAAATCGTGTTCCTTTCTTTGCTAAGTTCCATAGTGTCCTCTTCCCATCATGTATGCCTGCGGATAGAGCGAACACATTCATTCTTCCCCATGCGGAACCAACTCTTCCCTCTGCTTCGGTCGACGAGCGCTTCTACTTGCGATCAACATGACATGGTGGAGCCTTGGAGATTACTTTTACCATCGAGTCATCGCTCTTCTCCCGTTCCTACACCTTTAGGATTCCAGCAAAAGCCATGGCAAAGAGCTCATTCGTACCTTTGCAGCACTCACACGGAAAGCGATGCAAAGATGGAAGAGATGAGACGACAGATAGAGAGTAATCTCTATCTTTTTCTTTTGTTATAGTGTTTTTGGCGACTTCAATAAAACCCACTTGATAATACTGTAAATTATCTAAATAAACTTTTAACCTCAACTAAATTAACTATAAGCCTAAAATATATGATATTATAATTATCTAACAATTAAAGGTTACGAAAACTGATAAAAAATAAAAAATATAGCAGAAAAACTTTTAAAAGATATTTTAAGTATTTTTTACATTTAAAAAATATTTATTTAAAAAAAAAGAAAAACTTAAAATGTATTAGAATTGATTATTAGTTTTGTTTGAATTTGAAGATATTTGTTGTATTCAGATTTAGCATATTTCGGTTATAATTTTAATTCAAACAATTGATTTTAATATATTAATAAACTATTATAAATATAATTAAAAGTACTATAAACGAGCCAATCTGTACTAGTGATATAGAAAATAGCGAAAAAACTTTTAAAAGAATATTTTAAGTATTTTTTAATTAAAAATACTATTCAAAAAATAAAAAAAATGTTATAAGAAAATACTTAAAATGTGAATATTTGTTAGAAAAATCGTGATTCCATTTAACCCTGCTTTGAAGTGATTGATCCACCAATGGACACGTACTCCCATCAAATGGAAGACGGAGGAGGGAACCCGCGCGCCGCCATGTCATCTAGAACCTTCCAGCTATTTCCAACCCCACCTTTTTCTTCTGTTTATTTGAAGTAATGGCACGCCCCCTTCTCCAAGCATCCGCCGCCGTCTCGAGGGTTTACTTCTCTCTCTAGGGTTTTATATTACTCCTCTTCGCCCTCAAGAAACAAACCCCTCCTCCTTCCGCCCCCCATTCTCTTCGAGGCTCTCGACTCTTCTTCGATGGCGATCGGCTCCGTGCTTCTCTCGAGGATGGCCAGATCCAGGTCCAGGTCCTTGGTCTCTGCCGTCACCTCCGCTCTGCCGCAGGTCCTTCGCTACACCCTCTTCTATCGAGTTTCTACTGGAGAACTCCAACCTTTTCTAATCTGATCTATCATTTTTAAACCCAAGACTGGCGAAATGATTTGTTGTTGTTTTGCTTTTGTTTTTCCTTCTGTGAATGGCATATGACCGGTCAATCTGTTGTTCGAAACACAATCTTGGCAGTATTCATTTTTCATGACAGGATTATATGTTGTCTTGGGTGTAGAGGTCATTTAGTTTCTAGTTCATACACCCTGTGAGCTCTCGCCATTCCTGTGCGAATCGATATAATTTGTCACCGCCGTGAAAGATTATGTATGAGGTTTTACTGTTTGTGTGGTCGGATCTGGAGGCTTGGTTGACATCAAAATATTGGGCGGGTGATTGGGGTTTCCGAAGGATGCATGAAGCCGTTCAAAATTGGCGATGTTTGTTTGGTTTTCTTTACTCGGGGACATAATGAGTGTCAATTTGCAGAAACGATTGCAATGATCCTTTATGAACCTTGTAGAATATCAAGCTTAAAGTTTTGAATCTTTCTGGGGCTCAGCTTATCTGTGGTTGTGCAAGTTTTGTTCTGTATGCGTGTTCTTCACCAGTCTACATTTTCACATTGTTGTTCTGTATATCCAGACTTCTAATCTTCTGAAGGCATCACATGGCACTCCATTAACGCAAAGATGGGCTGCTGCTGCAAGAGCATTCAGGTAACTCAATTTGGCCTCTTCACCTTTCGTTAGATCCTCTTTTTTTGTTAATTTATATGCCTGTCTGATAGTTGTTCCACTGCCTTCTTGCATCTGATCTTTTTAAACTGACTGATTTTTGCAGCTCAAAGCCTGTAAGTTCAGATGTTATCGGGATTGATTTGGGCACCACAAACTCGTGTGTCTCTGTCATGGAGGGAAAGGTACACCTTTGTTTACATGTTTTGTTTTCTATACTGGGCCATTTTAGGGCCTTCTTGATTGTGGAACTAGTACAAGTTCTAGGAAGACTTTATTATGTTGTTGAAATTATCACTTATGCTTAGAACTTTTGCCTGATCCAAAGATTTTCTAATAGAATGAATATATCTTGGATGATTGTATCAGAGTCCAAAGGTGATTGAAAATGCAGAAGGTGCAAGGACCACACCCTCTGTTGTTGCCTTCAATCAGAAGGGTGAACTTTTGGTGGGTACTCCGGCAAAGCGCCAAGCTGTGACAAATCCAACAAACACTTTATTTGGCACCAAGCGGTTGATAGGAAGAAGGTTTGATGACTCCCAGACACAAAAGGAACTGAAAATGGTGCCGTACAAAATCGTCAAGGCACCCAATGGAGATGCTTGGGTTGAAATGAATGGTCAGCAATACTCGCCGAGCCAGATTGGTGCATTCGTCCTCACTAAGATGAAGGAAACAGCAGAGGCTTATCTTGGTAAATCTGTTTCAAAGGCAGTCATCACTGTCCCTGCATACTTTAATGATGCACAGCGTCAGGCAACAAAGGATGCAGGGAGGATTGCTGGGCTCGAGGTCCTGAGGATTATCAACGAGCCCACTGCTGCTGCCCTTTCGTATGGAATGAACAACAAGGAGGGCTTGATTGCCGTCTTTGATTTGGGTGGTGGTACTTTTGATGTCTCCGTCCTGGAAATCTCCAATGGGGTGTTTGAGGTTTGTTCTTGACATGCTTGTCTAAATTCTTTGTTATCATTTTTCAATTTTTATAATGTGATTTTCTGTTTCCAGGTCAAGGCTACCAACGGGGACACATTCCTTGGTGGTGAAGACTTTGACAATGCATTGCTGGACTATCTGGTCAGTGAATTTAAAAGAACCGATAACATCGATTTGTCCAAAGACAGATTGGCATTACAAAGGCTAAGAGAAGCAGCTGAGAAAGCAAAAGTGGAGTTGTCATCAACCACGCAGACGGAGATAAACCTTCCTTTTATTACTGCTGATGCTTCTGGAGCAAAGCACTTCAATATCACACTGACACGATCAAAGTTTGAATCTCTTGTTAACCATCTTATTGAGAGAACCCGCATCCCGTGCGGCAATTGTCTGAAAGATGCAGGCATCTCGGCAAAAGAAGTCGATGAAGTACTTTTGGTTGGTGGGATGTCAAGGGTCCCAAAGGTTCAGGAAATCGTCAGCCAGATATTTGGGAAGACACCTAGCAAGGGTGTGAACCCCGATGAGGCTGTTGCCATGGGAGCTGCCATACAAGGTGGCATCCTGAGAGGTGATGTCAAGGAGCTTCTTCTGCTTGATGTCACCCCGCTCTCCCTTGGTCTCGAGACCCTCGGAGGGATCTTTACCAGGCTTATCAACCGAAACACAACCATTCCAACCAAGAAGAGTCAGCTCTTCTCTACTGCAGCTGATAACCAAACCCAGGTCGGCATCCGAGTACTGCAGGGTGAGAGGGAAATGGCTTCGGATAATAAGCTTCTTGGGGAGTTTGAGCTCACTGGAATTCCTCCTGCACCAAGAGGTATGCCCCAAATAGAGGTTACCTTTGACATCGATGCAAACGGGATCGTGAAGGTCTCAGCCAAGGACAAAGCAACAGGCAAGGAACAGGAGATCACTATTAGGTCCTCGGGTGGGCTATCTGAAGAGGAGATAGAAAAAATGGTGAAGGAGGCAGAGCTTCATGCTCAGAAGGACCAGGAGAGAAAGACACTGATCGATGTCAAAAATACAGCAGACACTACGATTTACAGTATCGAGAAGAGCCTTGGGGAGTTCCGAGATAAGATACCAGCAGAAATTGCCAGAGAAATTGAAGATTCTGTGGCTGATTTGAGGGCTGCAATGGGCGAAGACAATGTGGAGAAAATAAAGGAGAAGATTGATGCTGCAAACAAGGCTGTCTCAAAGATCGGGCAGCATATGCAACAAGGCGGAGGAGGTTCTTCTGGTTCTGGATCTGCCGGCAGCAGCGGAGACCAAACTCCTGAAGCCGAATACGAGGACAAGGAAGCTAAGATGTAGGCTCTTGCTGCAGGTTTTCTGCAAGCATATGCTTTGGCTTTTATTTTGGTAGGTAACGGTGATACATTCACTGAAACAAAGAGCTAAGCGATGAATGTGTTGTAATAAGACGAGTCTTTTTAGTATTGTTTAGCTTAGTAGGTATTGGTGATATGCATTCACTGAAAACAATTGATGTCACAGAATTACATGAGGAATCGTACTTCATTTATTTGGCTTCTCATGGGTGTAGTGTAATGAGATGGACTAATTTGTCGAGAGTTGTGGCATCGTGCTCTTAGATTCAAATGTGAGACGGAGTTCTTGTTCGGCAGTGTTCCTAAGCTGATAAATAGAAATGCTAATTGTAATTGTAACTGTAATTGGTTGAGAGGAGCAAAAGAGAAGCAAAGCAGCGGCATGGTCATGCCGAAATGCTCGCCTATTGTCGAGCCACGGAGTCGCCGTTCACGGAGTACGTAAGAGCTCACATGTAAAGATCGATGCACGGACGCTCGGTTGCATTGCGCACCTAATAATTGCTGTTGGGGGGATATGGAGGCACACAATTGCACGGGAAGAGGAGAGGAAAAATCGAGGAGGCAACAAAACTGTAAAGAAAGCAAATACCTTCCCTCAAAAGGAGGAAAAAGAATCTAAAAGTGAGACAAGTGGGAGAAATAAGAGGCTTCGATTTCCGCCCTTGTGTTTCCTGTCTTTGGCATGCTGGCTTTTGGAGCTCTCCGTCAAACGGGTCAGCGAAGTTCCGCCCCTTTCTCTTACCAAACTTTGACCTTTTTCCTCCCCGCTTTCTCCTATTTTTCGTAATTAGAGGCAATTTAATGATTTTTCAGCGAAATTGGAAAACGAAAAAGGCTGGAATCTTGGGAAGAATCCAGAGACGATGGTGTGGTAGGGTATTTCCCTGACTTTTTTTTTTTGGGTAGATCCTGATTACTTTTAGGGTTTTTATTATGCTGCCATGGCCTTTCCTTTTTATCTCGTTTAACTCATTATTTGTTGCTTCGTATTTCTTTTGCTTTGTCACTTCTTGCTTTCTACTGTTAATCGAAGCTCGATCCTGTTGCTATTGCTGTAAGTCTAGGTAAAAGATTGGATTTTCTCCATAGCTGTTTACTGCTAGTATTTTCAAGCTTCCTGTTAGTGATTTATTTGGTAAATATTGCTTTCCTGATCTTGTTAGTTCTTGATTTGAACAGTAAAATTTCGAGACTACGGTGGAAATAGACGAAGATTTTGTTTTTCTTTTCTTCTTTTTAGACTGGAAATGATTGTGGACTGTGATGATCTATCATAATAATGAAGAGTAGAGCTAGAATTCCCAGTGATGGCCTCTGGAGCTGCTGTTTGGTTGCGTTGATGTGAGTTCCAAACCAGGAATCATGGCCTGTAGGGAATCCTTCGACGTCAGCATGCACAAGTGTCCGGGGCAATCCCCACGAGGTGGATTCAGTGCACTAGGACCTGATGGAATGTCCTCGGCGATGCCTGCACATGTTCTAAACATCAATATGGAGGAGCTTGTGAAACGAAAGCGCAGGCGACCGAGGAAATATGGTCCTGTTGGTTCAATGGCCCTTGCCCTGACCCCTGTACCGACTGCCGCTCCGTTGCTGCCCAGATCTGGTGGATTCTCACACTCTACAGAGGCTACTAACACCGTGACATCGGTCTCAGCAGATACTATAAAGAAAGCAAGGGGCCTGCCAAAAGGTTTTGGCAAGAAGCTGCAGATGCTTGCTCTGGGTAATCTCAGTTGCTCCACTTTGTTAGCATCGTATTCATCATAATAGACCTCTATGTGCATTTATATGTCTAATCGGTCTTCGAATTTCTTTCCAAACTATCATATCAGTGACATATATGTGCATTTATATGTCTAATCGTATCAGTTGCTCTGATGAACTTTTTCATTATCGTTAATGAAACATGGATAGGATCTCTAATCGGTCTTTGTTGATCTGTGTCACCGGAGTTATACTATTTTTGTTATAGGATATAAAAGTTGAGCCTTTTGATGGTGTAGGAAGCATAGGAACTATGTCAAAGGGGTGAGGAGGTTTTTGGGTACTGCCAGGACTTGAGTTTCTGGGGGATCTGACAGTCCAGAAATGACCCATTGGAGAATTACCTCTATGCCTTCTCCCTTCTTGTTATTAATAATGAAGTCTGCCATATACTGAATGATCTTTTCCACACTAAACGGTTGGAAGTTGAAATTTTAAACTGCAAAATATGATTGTATAACATAAATTTATTTAGTTGTGCATTTCCCAGAAAAAGATGTCGACCTGGTTATTAAATATTTGGTAGACTTTAGCTTATAGTCAAGAGTTCCATATGTGATCTATTGTTAGGTAATGTCATGTTTATTGTTGAACTTGCTGGATTCATTTTACGAGCACATTATAATTCATTTTGTTCTCTTGGCAAGCGAAATAATTATCTCTGTCACTATAGGTAATTTATTTTGTTAATTATGATTGTCTAAATTAGATGCACTTTTGCAAATTTTTCAAGTGAGCATGTATAGTCTGTTTGTATCGGCACAGTTTGTGTACATTACATTTTTCTGAGGCTTCTGATGTTTGTTGTGTCTTTGATCATCCATATCAGTTGATCCTGAAATTTTTGGATAGTTTACTTATAATCCAGATTGTTAATTCTTGTAACAAGAAAATAACTTGCAGGATCAGCAGGGGTTGGGTTTACTCCTCATGTGATTACAGTAAAGACCGGAGAGGTATCTTATGTTTTGGATGATAAGCTTGTTTTTTTATTTGGAAATGGGTAAAATGCTAGCAATATTTTCCTTTTAGCTAGCATCACACTGTTCTTGGATGTCTTAACATCCTTTATATAGATTTCTTTTACTACAGTTATTATAAAAAATCATGGAAATGACTGCACTTTTTGGAAGCTCATCCCTGATTCTTTGTTTCTGATCTTATGGGCTATGAACCACACATGTGATATGTTGCATGAGCTTAAACTTCAACCATGCAGATATTTACCTGCCAATTTGCCTCTTAAGACAAGTTGCTCTTACCTAGTTTGTTTGTTTGATTGTTTTTTTTTTTTTTTTTTTTAGTTGAATCAGGCACCAAGAACTGCAGAATCTTGACATTGATTTGATAATTTATTTTATGATTGTTAAATTCTTGAGAACCTTAATGATTATATGTTGTGCTCTAAAACTGGCCCCATTGTTCATAGCAAAAAGCTTGGATGATGGCTATGACAACTTTGAATTTCCTGCTGACTAGTTGCCAAATGCTTCAGATTATTCAGTCGCTTTTATGCATAAAGTACATGAACTGGAGCACAACAATTTAGGCTAGTATTTTCTGTTTTATTTTTAAAATGCCTTTGTTTGGATTTGATGATGACGATCTTGATTACAAATACCTCACTGAAATTGGATGTCCAAGAAGAAGGTCCATGAACTTCTGCAAGATCGTGATACACAAAGGATGATATAATAATCGTTCTAAATTTTATATTTTCAGGATGTATCATCCGAAATCATGTCCTTTTCTCAGAATGGATGATGTGCCATATGTGTCCTTTCGGCAAATGGTGCTATATCAAATGTAACTCTTCGTCGGGCATCAACATCCGGTGGATCTGTAACTTATGAGGTTTGTTACTTAATAACTGATACAGCTTAGTTTTGAGTAATTTCAAAAGCTATATAACCATTGGCAAGTTATAAGATTTAGTTTCCTTTGATTTGTGTAGATTCATTTCATGACTGTGAATTTAATCCATATACATGACCAGAAAGTGTCCTGGATGCATATGACATTTTGGCCGGCCAAATAGAAAAGAACAGTTTTTTATGCTGAAATAACTATCGATCTTGTTAATTAAACAGTGTTCCTTCATGTCTTTTTAGAATACCAGCCAAAAATGTGATTGTCATTATCAGATCTTGTAATTCAGAGACCTACTCCACCTGAAGGTTTTAAAGACAAACTCATAATCTCGTTGTACATTGTCTCCCTTTGACATTCAGTTTTCAGGATATTTGACTCTCTATTTTCTTTCTCTGGCTTCTCACGTTTGTATACGTTCTTATGCAGGGACAATTTGAAATCTTATCATTATCGGGATCATTTCTACTCACGGAGAGTGGTTGGTGGTCAGCATAGTCGAACGGGTGGCTTGAGTGTTTCACTGGCTGGTCCCGATGGACGTGTTTTAGGTGGTGGAGTTGCAGGACTTTTGACGGCTGCATCCCCGGTCCAGGTTTGTCATTGCTTCTATTGCATAATATTTCTCTTTATCTTTGGCATACTTCACATTATATGAACTACTAAGTCTGGTTTAGATTTTTCTTCATTTCTACTTTGCCCCTTTTTCTCTTGCTTAAAATTCCTATAAAATCAACATTACTGCAATATAAGTTATACATAAGTGCTATGTAATTGCTGATTCCCTCAATTCTACCACCTTTTTGACATTCCATGACAAATTGCTCGGGTCAACCCTTTTCTTTTTCGAAATTGCTCGTAATCTGTCAACTTATTGTTGTTGAGAACTTATCCTGCACCCCAGCTCAGATGCATGTGAAGTTGTCTCTAATTCTACAAACTTTCACTTACCAGTTTAACCCTTCAATTCTGTCCAATTTTCCTAATCCTTCCCGATAAGATGATTAGTCGATGGCCATTCAGAAGTTATCCTAGTTTTTTTTTTTTATTACAAAAAGCGTAGCATAAAAAAACATAGCACGAAACTCCCACCGATACAGGGTCAGAAGAGGATCAATGTATGCAGCCTTCCCTCCCTCTCAATTGTATCCGACTCAGAAATATGGTCTGTAAGTCACAAAGGAACAATCTTACGAAAAGCACAGCATATTAAATCTAAATCGCCAATGTGCTGACTCGATCGTTGGTTCTCAATCGTTGCTTTGTAAATTCAGTAACGGAAGCAATTCATTGTTCTTTGGCAGGTGGGAAAAAAGAGTCAAAGCAGATTAATGACTTAGATTCGGCATCTGCCCCTGCAAAGATTTCTCCAGGAGGGAGGTCGCCGGCAGGCAGCGGTCCAACCTCACAGGACACCTTAAGCGAATCCTCCTGCAGGCCTGCGAGTCCTCTCAGGCCTGGGACACTCAACAACAGCAACCGGCAGGGCTTCTCCAACATGCACTGGAAATAGCTGACCCTGACACCACCGTGGAATCTTAGTTCTTGGTGAAGAAATTGCTGGTCATTGCCTGCACCACCTCAGATCTTTGCTCAGTACCGTGTTGTAGTTTAGAGGCAAGCAGATCATCTTTGTAGCTACATTATCTAGCTGTTTGTGCTCCTAACAGTGTGTAGATGTTGCATGGAGTTAATCCGTGCATTATTATTTCTCTGGTTTGACTAGTGAGTGCTTGTCTCCGTAGTGCAGATTCATTATTTACTAGTGGATGGGCATCAATTTTTTGTTCCATTGTCCATTAAAATTGAATTATACAAAGCAAGAATCATTACCAAATGTCCAAGGCGACAAGATGGGCATCAACCTGCTAATGTCTATGACCCAATAAAAAAGATTTGTTATAATCGATTTATTAACTCTATAAACCATAGATCTCCCAGCGTCACTGAGCTTTATATATATATATATATATATATATATATATATATATATATATATATATATATATATATATATATATATATATATATATATATATATATATATACTATACTACTACT